AATGCTTTTATGATGCTGCCGATCTGTGTACAAGTTACAACACCCACAGGTTCCGCGCAAATGGTGGCAGCATGACATCAATTCATTTGACAATGCTTATCTTGCTACGTGCTGTTTGTTTGTCGAGCCAATTACCAAGAATTCTAGATGTGTTGCCCCTCAGGTCTGTAAGCGCTTCCGCCGTTCTATGTAGTGACCAGCGCACCCCAGTATGTATACTGACTATTCACCGCTGTACTGTTCCATCAGGCCTGTACACGCCTCTGCCGCCCCACTTGCTGCAGTCGGAGCACAGTATCGAGCCGTGCCTGGTGCTGCCCAGTCGGCGGCCAGTCACCCAACAGGTCAGTGTGGGGGTCAGAAGAAAGTCATTAACGGGTCAGGACAGAGCCCAATGGGTCCCGGGTACCCGACAGGTCAGGGTGGGGTCAGAATAAGGTCATCAACAACGGTCAGTCGCCCAGGGTCACCAGAGGTTCCGGACACCTGACAAGTTTTTGCTGTTTTGTTGGGTTAGGCCCTTTCGGTCTGACAAGACCATTTCAGAGCCGGAAGGATGATAGGAATTAGGGGGAGACATTGGTCTGGGCAGACCCCCTAGAGAGCAGTGTTCGCCACGGGCCGCAAAATCCCAGTCCAGCCCAGCCCGAGCCCATTCATGGTAAAAGCGTCAAAGCCCAGCCCGGCCCAGCCCATCAAAAAATGAGTGGTTTAAAAATTACTGACACCGCCCAGGTATACAAAGGTAGCAAAGAAACAATATTTTGCGAGCAGCATGCACAATGCACATTTCATGCTGCTTTATTTTCTCGTTTTTGTGTCTTGCACAGTAATAAGCGATGTAGTTAGTTATAGTTTTTGTCTCAGTTGCGAACCCCTGACTCCATAGGTGGAGAATTGTGACCAGCTGGGGGTGCTCGGGCGCAGCAAATCCGCCGCCGCCTAGCGGTGACCTTGACCCGCTCCGCCCGGCCGCGGCTCCAAAGCCAAGCCGGCGTGGCCGGCGTGGAATTGGGAGAGCTCGAGCACCCCCAGTCCAGCACAATTCTCCACCCGTGCCTGACTCCACTTTACAGTTTTTGGCTCAGCCAATCCACAGCCCATCGATCCTTCATATATGAGGGCCCAGCCCAGCCCGTAGTCCAGCCCAGCCCATGGCCCATTGGGCTGACCCGGCCCATGGCTAACACTGCAGTAGAGAGTCTCCGGGGCTGAGCCCGTACCTGACAAGTCGGAATGGGATCAGATAGTTTAGATGAGCGGGGAATCAGTTAGAGTTACACGTGCCAGAACAGCATCCTGAGGGCAAATCTCAGTACGTGGTCACAAGGGATCTGAAAGTTGTCACTGAGGTGTCAGGAGTTCTGCAGGGGTCTGCGTGCGACCATGGATAACTAACAAGTAATCCGTGGTGCGACGTTGTCCTTTTGGAGCAGACCGGCGTATTGAGACACCGAAGCTTCCGTAATCGCTCACCAGGCGTCTCTACCGTCGGCAGGTGGGCTGCGTCACGACGTCCCGGAACTCACTGCGTCAAGGAAAGCTGGGCGTCACGCCCGTGACGATGGACGGCGAGGGGGACGTTATGTGGATCACCGAAATCGAACAGGTATCGTTACATGATGTTACGGCTGCGACGAGTGAGGGTCACACAGCAGTCCTTGATCTTTGTCTTTGTCTCTGTCTTCGACTTTGGCGGACCTCTGGCAGGACTTTGAACCCCATTTGTTGAGCGGCTGAGCGGTAGTTACATGAGTGATTTAGGACCGTCCTCTAATATCATTTAGCTCTCGTCTTTGGTAGTATCTAAACTCTCATGCCTCTCTGCTCGTCCACGTAAACAATCGCTGCTTGTGTCAGCCTTTGTGCCTCCGCTCCATTCTGACCCATTTCGATAGACCCGCCATCTGGTGCCGTCGGGCCGAATCTCAGCTCGTGTTTCCTCCCCTGTCTCAGATGCTTGGCCCCCAGGGTCTGTTCTTACCTCAGTAAGGGTAGGGGGAGTAAGGGTCACACTTACCCCGTCTCAGCTGTTTGGCTTACCTCGCCACCGAACGGTCTTGGGCAGTTCCGTTCCCCAGAGGCTGTCCTGACTTCGCTATCCCCTTATCCTGTCTCATGTTTGGCCCGCCGCGGCACTACACGGAACTTGGCCGCCTCGGTCCACAGATGCTGTCCTTACCCCCCCCCCCCTGTTCCCTCTCCCCTGATGTTTGGCCCGCAGAGGCTGTCCTGACCTCACTATTCCCTCTCTCTGTCTCAGATGTTTGGTCTCCCCCGTCACTACACAAACCTGGACCCCCAGATGCTATTTGATCTCAGTTACCCTCAGCAACTATTGCCCCTCCCCCTGTATCAGATGTTCGGCCTGCCGTGCCACTACACGGACCTGGCCCCCAGAGGCTTTTTGCCCTCAGTTGACCTTAGTTTGTCTACCCCCCCCCCTGTCTCAGATGTTTGGCCCGCACAGGCTGTCCTGACCTCACTATTGCCTCTCCCTGTCTCAGATGTTTGGTCTACCTCGCCACTAAAAGGACCTGGGCCCCCGGAACGTCTGACCTCAGGTTGACCTCAGTTTGTCTTCCCCCTCCCCCTGTCTCAGATGTTATGCCCACTGAGTTTGTCCTGACCTCACTACTCCCTCCCTTTTCAGATGTTTGGCCTGCCGCGCCACTACACGGACCTGGGCAGCCTCGGCCCGCCGAAGCGACAGCAGCTGTTGGGCAGGGCCTGGAGTGTGCCCGTCATCAGGCACATTCTGCACAGCCTGACACCCTTCTTCGCGACGGCAGACGGAGGGACAGAGAGGGCCTAGTGGCCTGAAAGGCCGGAGATCTGTTGGTGAGAGATCCTCTGGCGTGAGGGGCACTTAGTGCTGAGTTACAGTGATGTGTTGGTATAAGTGGCTATTCCAGAGAGCTAGCTATTCGGTTGTAACAGTTTTGTCCCTTGTCATACTCATGTATATGCGCTGTGCCTGTTTTGCTTGTTGATGTTCAAGCAGCATCAGAGTCCAAAATGTTTCGTCTGTGATAACCTGGGTGCTGTAGTGACCAACCATTGTGGTTCAGCTTCGCTGACTTTTTGTTGTGTGTTGCGTTGTAATGCTCCCTTTTCACCATGTGATTTTGATCTTCTGTCACTGATCTCGACAATGAATGGTGCTAGTCGTGACCTGTTTCATAAGCGTATTTTTTTGCATGTTTCGATGTTCAAATTGTTTATCTCTATGGCACGCCCAATGTTCACTGGTTACCTATGTGTGTATTTGTTATGTAACCAGTCAGCTGGTTCACCGAAAGCTAGTCGTAGCGGTGTTGTGTAGCGGTGTAGCGATGTTAATTGAACGTAGCGGTGCAGCCTTCTGTGAAAACCAGGAGTCAACTTCCGCTAGCGATATATGAGCGTCTGTGTCGAGCGTAAGCTATTGGTTTAGCCAAGTGATTGTGCTTTTTGAACTCTTCATAATCTTCCAATGCAACCGATGTCAGATCTCTTGTTTTTTTTTTTAAGAACTTAGATGGTAGCTCGGAAACCCTTTGCTTCTGCAGCATTGCTATGAACAGGATATTAAGCTCAATGCACAGTAACTCGGCGATCAGTTGCATGTTGACCATTCTGTTTCTTCTGAATACATATATTGTCATTCGTACAACATAGCATGATATTATTATCATATTCCGATTCTCACGTATCACATCACATGACAGTATTCTCACAGCGGAGGAAGTCGAGTTACAATGAGATTGTACGTCGGCCACAATCGCTCCGTCGCTTCCAGAATACTTGTTCATCACTGTACAACTGGCTACTGAGTCAGACGGCGCACCGGCCGCCGGAACAGACACATGAAGAATGAGGCGACGACCACAGCGCACGGCACTGCGCTGAGAAAGCACGGACTATCAGGTCAGATCACTGTCCGCCAGCACGGACACCTACAACTTCATCTCCCACAGCACCAGGTGGGCGTCCCTCACAGTGGGTGGCCGCGGGGTGGACTCCGAGCTCTTCCGCTCTGCGCGGCTCCAGTTGACGTATCCCCTGCCGGCCATTACCGTCAGCACGCTGCGCGCCGGCTCCTCCTTGGGCCGGGCGCTGTCGCTACCGGTACCGCTGCCGCTGCCCGCCGACCGGCCGTCGCTGGTCGTTGTGTCCGTGCGGAACGAGGCGACGCGCGAGGCGGGCGCCGAGTGGGCTCGGTCACCCTCTGATGACGAGCTGGTGGTGTGCGCGGACGAGCGCGAGTCCACCGACCACGTGGATAGGTCGAGGGAGCGCGGCCGGGTGCCGCGCAGCTCCAGCCGCCGGTCCAGTGAGGCCATCTTGTGCGGCAGGCCGGCCAGCAGCTCCGGGTCACTCCGGCGCAGCTGAGAGTCGATGTCACCCAACTCTCGCGACTCGTCGAAGCCTGGCAGGTTGAGCAGGTTGCCGTAGAGACCGTACACGTCATCCAGAACGCTGCCAGCCGAGGGTAGGCCCACGCCGCGCGGCAGGGTCTTGGATAGCCGCCGGTTCATGTCCCGGTCTCGTGAGCGCTTCCTCAGCAGGGACGGACTGCTAAAGCGGGTCGGCAGGCGCGCCATGCTCTTTTTCGAGTCGCTGAGGCTGGTGTCCGATCGCCGTTTCTCGAGCAGCCTTCCAGTCGAGTCGGGAGCCGCCTCCTCCATTATAACACTCTCCCGATGGGCGGCCGGCGGCGGTGCGCGCGGCGCTGGAGCGCTCAGCACCTGTAGATAGGTCACCGGTCCGCAGTGCGCGTGGTACGAGATGTTTCCCCGGCCGGATATAATTGGCACGCCCTCAAGCCGCGGCAGTGGGATGGTGAGCGTCACTCCGACACTGGTGCCCACCCAGAGCAGCCCGCGGCCGGCCAGCAGCGCCGTCACTGCCACCGACTGGCGCACGCCGTCGCCCATGACACGCGAGATGTTGGAGGCCACGTTGATGTCCTGCAGGTGGCGGAACGTCTCCGTGTGGTACAGGCAGATGGTGGAACTGTGAGCCAGAGAGATCCACAGGCCGATGCCGCTGTGCGCCAACAGGTGTACGTCGCCGGAACACTCGTGCTCCTGCACCGTGAAGCTCTTCTGTCGGACAGAGACGGGCACGCGTCAGTGATAGTGAGGGTGAAGCAACAAATTAGGGTTGCTTCAGGACATAGCACCGAGTTCAAATGTGTACGCGAGGAAAGTGGTCTAACTCACAGAGCGTAGCTCACACATACGAAAATCACATCCTACAGGCATGCTGAAATTTATATCGACTGGAATGGACCGTAAGCAATTAATTTTTAGCCTTTCTTTTCAATCTTTTCGCAATGGCATCGCAAACAATATCTCAAATATCTTCCTCGCCCCGAAATACATCCGGCTATCCCACTGCCCCTGGGTCTACCACCAGTCTCAGCTTTCCCGTTACTTACCACCACCTCCCTGGTCTCAGCATCGATGACAGACACCTGCCGTCCGCAGCCAGCATACACGGCGCCCCCTATGGGCAGCAGGCAGGCCACGGGCCGCGTACCGAGCCGCAGCAGGGCCGGCTCGCCGGGCAGCCAGCCGCCGTCCGACGCACGTTCAATTGCCGCCACTGCGCCGTTCTCGAGCGCGGCGAACACGGCGGCGCCGTGCGGCACTAGACGGCGCGCCGGGGACGGCAGTGACGCACTGGCCACCTGGTGACTGTGCTCCGGCTCCTGGGCAGAGTACTGCAGCAACCTGCCGACAGAGAGAGGGGGAGGTCAGGGGATGTCTCTGGTAACCCCCAGACAAACGAGGTGGTAACCCCCTGGAAAACATACTATTCAGATGGCGACTACAGTAGAAGGGGCAGTGACAAACGAATTAAAGCAATTAACAGAAAAAGACACAACATAGAAAACTGAATGCCGACTAAGGCTCGGGTAAACAATAAACATAGGTACAGAAATCTGCAGACAAAACTGTTATCAGGGTAGGTAAAAACTGAGGAATGGTACTCAAATGACTGTAGCATTTCAGAAGATTCAAGCTATGAAAACATTCAATGCAAAAGAAAACATTCATCTGGCACGAAATGATATCCTTCACTCATGCAAATGAATGCAAATGTGATAAGCGCACGTCTAATTTCGCGTCTCGCTGTATGCCTCATGGCCGACGGGCCGGGGCATGATGTGATGATACAGGGCTATGAATAGCACCGAGCCAGTTCACAGCCCCTGAGGAACTGCCGCCGACGCCCTTCCATCCTGCTGTGTGATAGGTCCCACACCCTGCCCGCCTCTTTCATCGGTAACACCAACACCAAATTTGTCCGTTACAGACTCGCCAGAGCCGGGCCCAAAGCGGCTCCGCCCTGCCCAACACGACCATGAACCGTTATCAACCGCAACTAGCATCCGTGTAAACACAGCTTAGAGTGCTACATGGCGTGAATCATTCTATGTAAGCCGTAAGCCGCATGGGTGAGACAAGAGCATCATCAGCTGGAGATAACAAAATCTCTTAGGACGATGTAGGCAAGCTCCAGCTGATGGCGAAGCCAGTCCGCTACTGCGCTGAAAACTGTCGTGCCTCTCAGTTTGAGAGAAATATGTTATAAGCACCGTTCGCTGATGTGTTGGTTTTTGTTTTTGCCGACACAGCGTGGGCGAAACAGCTTCAAAGGCTGTGAGCAAAGCGCTGCAAGTGAAGCCGACACAGCACACCCATGACGCTATTTTTAGACGGAGCTCTCCTCTCTCTGGTTACGGACTGGCTGTGTGCTGTAGCAGCCGACTCTCCAGTAATTCAGCAGTCTCTCTGTGTCGCAGCTAACAGCTCGGTGAGACAGTTATTTAGCTCCAACCGTGGAACAGCTAAGACTAATTAGGTTCTGGTACTGCACAGTATGCTGTCCTGGCACTGCTCACTACGCTTCTGACCCTGCTGACCTAGCTGACCCATTCCCTGCTGATCCCACCGACCCACCACTTGTTGCGCTGGTAGTCTGCTAATCCAACACCTGTCGAACCCGTTGAACCATCGCCTGCTGACCTGTCGATCTGGTAACCAGTCAGTCATTGACCCTACTTATACAAGCGACCCTGTTGACTCGTTCCCTGTTCAACTACTGCGTACCCATCTGCCAGGAGTGCTGACCCACCAGCCGCTGACCTGCTGACCCTGCCGACCTGGTGACCCTTCGTACCCATCGGCTGCTAGCGAAGCTGATCCATCCGACTCTGTAGAGCATTGACCTACCAGATGCTGAGCCTGCTAATCACCTACTGACCAGCTATACTGACCCTGATGACCTGCTGACTAGCTACCGAACCTGCAGCTGATCACCAGCTGCTGACCTGCTGATCTGACTAACGCACCAGCTGCTAACCTGCTGTTCTCACTAACCCACCAGCTGCTGACCTGCTGATCTCACCAGCCACCAACCCACCTGCTGCTGGCGGTGCTGATCCAGACAGCTCCCGAGCGGCAGCCCGTCTCTGTCATCTCTCCGGACACATATTCCATGGCGGTGACCCGCTCCCCGGGTAGCTCGAAACGTAGCACGTCCCGGAACCCGACCTGCGCAACAGGAACACGGCACGTCAGCTACGGCGGAGATCACAAAGTCACGTGGTGCTGGTGCGATGGAGATGAGAAAGTCACGTGGGGTTGGTGCAATGGAGCTTAGAAAGTCACGTGGTGTTGGTGCGGCGAAGATCAGAAAGTCACGTGCGTTAGGACAGGGGTGGCCCGTGGCCGACAGGTCACGTGGTAAAAGGAACAATGAAATATCTTTCTATAATATCCATGTGACATCGCAATGAGAGTCGGACTTTCTATTACACTTTACATGAATTCACTGAACCATGCTGCTCATAACAAAGTATCGAGATCTCGACGAGTATGGGCCAAACGCATCAAGTTTGTTTCAATATCACACCCCAGTACGTGAAAAATGACCTCTGAGCTGTGCTATTCATCAACTTGAAAAGGATTAGGACACGGGGCAAAGGTGAGCAATAGCAGTTTTACTAATCAAATATATCTCCCAAATATATCAAATATATCGGGGACCTGGTAGGACAGGTCCCCGTCTCTGGGAATACGTTCAAAGGAGACGTTTAGCTATGAGCCGGCCTTGAACAGATCGATACCCGGAGCCCAGACGGTAGCCGCCAAGGCTGCGTCGTCACCTGCCGAGTAGCGCAACTTGTCCCGGGAGCGTCCCGAGCCCCGTGACCCGGTAAACATTTACCACGAACTGCGCAGGTTCCCCGCCAAACGGCACTCGTGCGCGGAAGTTCGTCGAACACGAGCGACTATCAATTTGGTGCCGAGATCCACGAACCGAGCAGCAAACATCGGTCACGCTTACCGCAATGTGTACATGATCACGGCCAAGTTTACGGTCACGGCCAGTATCTCAGGGTCGGTCGGACCTCACGGCCGGGCCAGCGGCTACGAGCCGAACGGCAGCGCCGCCACAAATATTTGGGAGAGCCGCGAGCCACCAAACAAACGATCTTAGTCGACTGACCTAGTTTTGGTTCAACAATCGCAGGAAACTTCCTGCAGAGGACGAAATGAATGGAAAGCGGCGCTGTGTCTTCCAAGCTGGCT